AAAATGCCCAAGATCCTTTTACTTATTTAATACAATAAAGTCAAACCCTGGAATAACAATGACATCTCTAATTCTTTTTTTTTTTTTTTTCCTTTGCTCTCGGCTTTCTTTTTCCAGCTGTCACTTTCTAGTGAGGAAACTTTTGTCAGCTCAGTAGATCTTCAGGTACAGAAGGAATGCAATTTTACCATTTAAAAATGGAGTAATTGAAAGTTGAGCATTTAACAGATGTCAGCATGAGGAAAAAAATCACTTCTTCATATTAACTTAAACATTTATTTCTTCCAGTATAATTTCTTGTTTATAGTTTCTTCACAAAGTGGTGGTTTTGTGTCTTCGGAGAATTTAGTAAAATGAACAGTTGTGTTGCAATGATGACACTTGGGCTGAGAACCTTTGACTGTTGCCTAGAGTGCAGTGTAAATATATTCAACAGTCCATAATGCTTTAAATTACTGCCTTCCTATAAAGTAAAACTACTCAATAGATCTGCTCTCTCTCTGCATGTTTATTTTAGTAATTGAATTAAGGTTCATGAATGGCTGGTTTTGTGAGCTGGTGCAGGATTACACTCTGTTCTGTGCTTCCTGTGATGCAGAGAGTTCTTTTTGAGGATAATTCTGTGATATTCCCCCCATGTTAGCTGATTGATTACAGTGAAATTACAGTGGATGGACAGAAAGCAAAAGCTGACCTGTCCAGACTGGGAGATGGAAGGATGTACTTGACATTCAGATATGGAAGCTAGTTAGCAATGAATGCATTAATTTTTTTCTGAGTACTGCAGGAAGAAAAATTTTCTGTGGAAAATCAAGTATGCTAAAAATTAAGGGGGGGGGGAAAGCTTAAAGGAATGATAAATAAACATGGCTGAGGCTACCACACACTCCTGGTACATTTTTCTCCTAGGGGATCTCGAAGGACAGTTGAATAACTTATCTGTCTTATCTTTAAATACAGCCAGTATAGATGACCCTTACATTTTGCCTTGACATTTACAATCCTTTATAAAAATACTATTTCTAGAATTAAATATATTCCCAAGCTGTTCATTGCTCCATACTGCAGCATAAGACCAGGAGACAAAAAGTTTCATAAAATGTTTTGGTGCTGTCCTGTAGCCTCTTCTCTTGTTTGTTTACAGAATGTGTATGCTTTGCTAACGCGCATCTTTTCTGCTCTATAAAAGCAAATCAGATTTCTCAGAGCAAAACTGCTGTATGAAGAGTGGAAGAAAAGAATTCCCGTATTCGTAATCCCCTCTTTTGTTTTCTCTTGCAACATTGGTTACTGTAAAAGCTGGATAACTGGTGCATTAAAAAAAGAAACAAAAATAGAAAAAAAGACTGTTGGGTTTGGCAGTATGTTTTTGTAAACAAGTGACCTAAATTGAAGCATAAATTCTAACACGGAAAAAAGCAAGATAACCAGAAGACTTGCAAATGCAGCACAGAGCAGAGTCCCCACCAGATGGTATTTTTAATAAATTTATCAAGCTGTTATAAAAGATGATAATGAACATTCAAAATAGGGAGTGGCAGACTCCCCTAGAGAGAAGGAACAGTATGGCACCTTCTGCACACTGCAATTAGTTAGAATCACTTTCTAATTAACTGTTGTAGGGAAGACCACAGAATTATATTAGACACGAACTAAGACAAGTTTCTGTGCGGTGGTTAAGGAGTTTGACTAATCAGGGTAACATCTTCTTAGGAGGTCATAGATTAGTGCAGCAATCTAAACATAAGAAGGAGTGGGATGATGTTCAGAGGGCATGCAGGTAAAATATTGGATGAACTGAGCTATGCTGTATTCAATTAATGCCTTACATAGCTCAGAGGGTGTTCACAATATGCCACAGAGCCTCAGCATGAACACTGATCTTCAGTCTTCATCTTTTACTTGTTTTTCTTAACCAAGATTTCAGTAGCTTCCTCTTCCTACAGAAAGCAGCAGTATATAGCAGATGCTTAACACCTGTATAAAATGGATAATCAAAGAAGTTCCCTTACTGCCAGAGAAGAGGAGAGGAAAAGGAAGCCAAGAAAAACTTTATTTTGATGCCAGTACTTAGTTTGCATCGTTAGTCTTTGCTTTATTCTGATTGTTCCCAGTGAAGTACTTCTAATGTCTACAACCTGCTCCCCCGTAAGAATCTGGGAATGTCTGGATGTCTCTTTTCAGTAATAGGGAATCAGGAGGTTTCTAGAATAGTAATATGGTGCTTTTAGTAATTTTTTTATGAGCAGAAATGATAGTACATTTGATAATGCAGTAGATTTTTTCAGAAACCATTGCTTTTCCACTGCCTTGGATTATTACTTGGTAACGAGCTTGCACTTTTCTCTCCTTTATGCACTTTCTCTCTGCTTTATGGTGTTTTGGTTGGTTGGTGGTTTTCTTAAGATTATGCTCCTGACACCACTAGCAGACTTAAAAAACAGAATCCTAGCTCTTCATGGAAAATTATCTCTTTTTTGGGTGCTGGAGACTTACAATTAGCTATGACATTTCACATAGGTGTATTTCAGCAATTTTCAGATGATGCAGTATTTGAAATAAATATTTTACAGACAACTCTTAAAAGTATGTAATTAAGTTATCAGTGTTCAATGGGCTTAAAATGATACATTTGCATCTGTACTATACATCACCTGTGTTCTTGTGAAAATTCAGGTAATGTTGGTTTTAAGTCTCATGTATTTCTAATTTTTTTGCGTGCCATTCTTATTTTGGCTTGTTTGTTGTTCCTATTCTGATTTTCAAAAATGTTTGGTATGAGATATTGTGAATTTGGAAATTTTATTAAATTGATCATTGGCATTCAGATAATTTTTGGTAAATAATTTTTTTCTCTCTTTTTAAATTTTATTACCACAGTGATTGGTTGGTCTTTATCAGAAGATGACATACAAAATCTTAGCTTTTTTTAATACAGCCTGTGCTGGAAGAATTTTTGTTATCATTTAGATAAACCAATCAGTGCTTTTAATACTTTCCCCCAAAAAACAAAGGCTAAACAGGCAACCTTGACTTTTTACATGTTCAGAGAGCATAATTTTTCAGCCTTGTTAATATTAATTTTTTGACTGAGAGAGTTTGAAAAGTTGAGGAGGTTAGCTAAAAATTGAGCTTTTTAGCAAAGTACTGGACCTGACTGGGGCATCTTAACTAGCTTTTATTTCTGTTCATCTTGCTGGAAGTTGACATTCAGAAAGCTTGGGATTCTCTCAGTGACAAACAGGAAGTACCATATTGTTTGAATGTTAACAGAGGGAAACAATAGGTAATTTAAAAAATAAGCATTGAAGCACTTGTAAAACAGTTCTGGAAAAGTACTCTATGCACAAGAAAGTACACCTTTCTTACAACATGCTACAAGAAGAGCTGCTGTTGTCTTGGTCTTTGAATTTGCTGAAATTATGTCAAGGAAGAGCATTCCTCTTCTTGGAAAGTTTTCTAGAAACCAACATTAAACTTATGTCCTTTGCTAAAGAATAACAGCTCCCAACACTGCACTTTATTGCCAAATATGTAATGTTCCCCTGCTTCTAAAAATGCCTAGTAAAGGGTTATATTATCCTTTATTTAGTTCAGTTTCTAAACAGCAGTTCCCAGGCTAGAGCATTCTGTTTTGGATGTACTGGGGAGAAGGAAGAACTGAAGTTAGATGATGCTGACACATGGACCACAGTGTTGGATACATACACTGATTGCAAGGGAGGTTGTAGAGTTGAAAAAGTTCATTATAGATGTTGCAGCACAAGGTAGCAGTTTAGCACTGGTTTGTGCAATTAGAATCTTACACTTTTTAATTGAAACTCCCTTCCTCTTGTCATGACTTTCCCAGGAATGCTTTTAGTAATTTGAAAAATTGAGTTCCCTAACTTGTTCATTTTCCCTGTAATATTCAAATAACTGCATATAAGGTGAATGAAAAGGCAAATTTGACATTCTGTAGTAATACCTTTGACTTTTCTTTGGCATAGCAGGCTACTACATGCTGGCATTTTTTTGTGGTTGTGTATAGGATAGAAAAAAGAATTATCCAGCAAAAATCTTTGATGAAACTAATGGGGGGGAAGTACTATATAATTCCATCACTGTCTCCTGGAGGAAAATAATTATCCTGTGTTTTGGCCTTTTTTCAAAAGGATGGATTTGAAGTAGTTTCTTTTGCTATTGGGATATTATAATTTTTTTTTTTTTTTTTTTTTTTTTTTTTTTTTTTTTTTTTTTTTTTTTTTTTTTTTTTTTTGTGGCGGTCATACCTTTTTCCTGTTTCTTGACTGAATGAGAAATACTTCTGTGCTTGCTGTTCCATTTGCGTGGCAGACCTATTGGCCTCTCCTTCCCTCTTGTAGTCCAGTATTTGTATTGAAAGATTTTGTAGGTATTAAAAAGCATTTTGATTTTCTAAATTCTGGGGTGCAATTTCTGATCACAGTCAGACTGTTAGAGCTACCAACAGGTACACAACAGGTACATGCTGAGAATAGCTTCCTGAGCTGTGAGACTTCAAGCCCTTGTTTTGAAGACTTTGAGTCCTGGCTTCCCACAGTCCACATCAGTTCTTTAAAATATCTCCTACTTACTTCTTTATCTCTATCTCTCTTTTCTTTTGTTTTCTTTTTTCTTTTTTGGGGGGAGAGTGAGGGAGGTTTCATCATGAAAACAGGAAGAAATTGTTTGAAAATTTCAGAAGTTCTGCTAGACAAGATTTTTTTTTTTCCCTCATTTGTATTAAAAGTATTCTTTCATGTCACCAAGTCAGAAATCCATCTGTTAATTTGTCAAGCTATTCTGGCATGAATGCTATAAAAAATTACCTGTACCACTTGATTCTGCTTCTTAGTTCATATTAAATAAGACTTACATTTCTTTGTGTTGATCATACTTTAATCTTTTTTTTTCCAAATTCTTTGCTAGAAATAAAGACCATTGGTATCTGAACTGTTTTTTAACTATATGTTTGTCATATTTATGTTTTTAATTCACAGTTCCCACTGAAAATGTTGCAACAATTGCAGACTGTGCCAGTGTGATTGAGGGTGTAAGTCGCAGTCGCAATGCCTTATTGAATGGAGACACAAAAAACTATGATTGGGATTCTGGGTACACATGCCATCAGCTTGGAAGTGGAGCTATTGTAGTTCAGCTAGCACAGCCCTACATGATTGGATCAATACGGTAAGAGGGTTTATTTTTCTCTAAATTAAGGGCGACAATGAAATTTCTGCTAAGCACAGTTATTTTCTTTAGAATATATGACATTTGGAAATGATGGTAATTAGGGGACTAGTTTAGGAGTTGTCATTTGCCTTCTTACTTCAGTATAATGGGCATGTTAAAAATTAAATGTGTGAATTATATGTCAAGATACAGCAGTGCAATTCCAGAAGATATTACATTTCAAAAGCATAATAATAGTAATAGTCAAATTGTAAGATTAAAGGCATGTACTTATATTAAAATAGAAATTTAATTGCAGCCTCACTTGTGGTCAAAGTAGGTGCAGTTCCTCATATCCACCTCATTGTGAAAACAGAAACGTTTATTGAAGAAAGCCATCATCTCAAGTCAGCCAGGTTTCCTATTCACTATACAATTAGTACCGGTTCTTACTTGTAAGAACTTGTAATAAGGGTACAGTAACCTGAATATTGCTTTACAGTGTTGGATTAATGAATGTGTTTAGATCTGGATTGAAGTTCATTGGGCTATTTCTGTGGTGAATGTCTGCATACATATGAAGAACAAACTTTTGGCTAGTGTAGAAACTTTAGAAATAGATTGGAGAACGGGATTGCTCACAGGTGAAGACAAAAATATTCTTCCCAGCTTCAGATTGTCTGACTTTAAATGGCTTTTGTTTTATAAAATCAGACATACTTGCTTTAATGGCTTCCTGTTCCTCATAAATTTCGATTATGTTGTCAGGAACTTAATTTGTATTCTTTGTGACGATGAAAAAAAATAAAGGTTTCTGAGGTTAGAGTACCAGTGAACAGAAGTTGAATTCCCCAGTGAGGTACTGGCTTGCAACAGAGACTGTGTGCATAGGTACATAACTGCCCATGTCTGTTTTGTGTGGTTTGGTTTTGGCTTGTGGCATTGTTATGATGGTTATAAACTTTGAAGATAAAGTATAAAATCAGACATCCAGACAAATCTCTAACCTAATAAAAGTACTGTTTTGTCTGTATACTAGCAATAAGTGTTATGCGCAATGTAAGTCTGGCTTTTTTCTCACTGTGTGAAACAAGTTGAATACATATAGCTGGCAGCTTTCCATGTTCAATATTTTATGCATTTGAGTTTGGTATTTTTAATGTTCAGTTAAATATTGCATCTCTAGTAGAAAACCAGGAAGACACAGTACTCAGATTTCTTAAAAGAGGTAATTGAAAATGTAATGACATAATTTTCATGCAACTTTAAACTTAAGTAGCAGCAGAAGCTTTGGCCACATGAAGAACTAAAAGAAGAATATTAACTAAAATGCAGTTTATAGTCTCTGTCCTCTTATCTTACCATTTTCTGTTATACTTCAATTGATGAATCATACCATCTTTTCAAGTCAGTGCAAAAAATTGGCTTTCCTGTATTAAATACTATATGCTAGTGCTTATTCTAGAGCAGAATATTTTTAGTAAGTCTTATTATTAAATAGTGTGTTAGGTGAACTAGACTTTAGATTGCCAAGAAGTTAGAATTGTATAATCAGCATGTGTGTAGAGCAAACTTAAAAAACAAAAACAAAACCCACCAAACATTATGTAATTTAAAAGTAATAGACATTTAGTGGTTTATGTGGCAATGCATTATATGGATATAGGTCAGAATCTCATCTTTCTTTCATATCTAGTACAAAGAAAATTAATAGCTTGACTTAAAAGCCAACAATAATAAACATTGTCATCTAGGGTATCTTCTGACAGGAGACTACTTGCATTGCCTAGAGACAGAAATGCTAGCACTATGTCATCCTTTCATCTTTTCCTTTTTATGTTCTGCCTAGAAGAACAAGTGTTTTGAGTTGCAGCCATGTCTGTTGCAGATCATAGACAGTGAAGGGAAAGATGTCCCTTTGAGTGAGGAAGTGAGGTTTCACTGTATTGCAGCTACATCTTTGGCAAGGGTCTAGAACATGTCCTGTACTGTGTAATGCTAAAGATGGTGACAGTGGTCTCTTTATTTAGCACCAGGCAATCTGTGACTGGTACAGATATCAAATTACATATAAACATAGATTAGAGCAAAAAGTCTTAATATTTCATTTTGATGAAAGCAAGAGATTTTTTTGATCAGAATGGCTTCCAGAACTGATTGAACTCTGTTCATTACCTTTTTCCCTGCTGTTTACTTGTTTGAAAACTCCCTTGATCTCACCCTCCCACCCAACAGAAAAAAAATACCTGGAGCGTTTTCTCTAAGTTGGCTGTACACTGTGGCTGCAGAATGACATGAATGGCTCTACCCCCAGAAATTGAGTCATTAGATCTGTAGGTTTGGAGACTACATGAATAATTAGGAATTAAAGTACATGTTTTTTAAGTTCAGAGACATGTATATGCCCCTGAATATATTTGTATTAGGGAGAGTAAATGTATGAGCCCTTGAAAAAAGAGTAGTAGCTGCTTTTTAGTCTATAGAAATCAGAATACCACTAGAGAGAGCCTCCAAGTCAGAATGTGTTACCGTGGCAACTAAATTCTGAGTATGAAAAAGGAAGATGAACTCTTGGTACTGGAATATGCATTAGAAATCCATAGAGAGTTTTTAATGTTTCAGGAGTGTATCTTGTATGCCTGCTTTCTGCAAGAGTCATCTCATTGTCTTAGAATCATTCAGGTTGGAAGGGACTTGAAGGCATCTAGCCCAGCCTGTTCCTGAAAGGAAGGTCAGCTATCAAGACTATCTTACTAAAGGCTTTATGCACTCAGGTTTTGAAAGCCTCAAAGGAAAGAAGTTCCACAACTTCTCTGGGTAGCCTGTTCCAGTCTTTAATTATTCTCATGTATACTACTTTTATGTGGTTCCTGTTTTTCTATGCCTCTAGTCCATGTAGAATATCCTGTTTTAAATTTTTAGCATTGTCTTTTGTTTCTCCTGTTGTGCACCTCAGTAAAGAGCCTAACTCGTCTTTTTGATAACCTGCTCTCTGTACTGAAAAGTGGTGTTAGGTTCCTCCATGACCCCAAGCCTTCTTAGGCTAAAAAGCCAATTGCCTCAGCCTCTTGCACAGTGCATGTGCTCCAACCTCCTGACCATCTGGATGGTCCTCTGCTGGATTTGCTCAGATCTGTCAGTGTAGTATTTGGGTCCGCAATGAAATGCAGTATGCTGTGTATGATCTAACAATTGTCAAGTGAAGGCTAATTTCTTCCCCTTGTTCCGCTGGCTCAGTTCCTACTGCCACAGCTCCATATGCTGCTAGCCTTCGTTGCCGAGAAGACACACAGGCAACTAATGACATTTTCTGGTCAATATGACACCCATGTCTTTTATAGCACAGACAGACTCTAACATTTACTACTGCAGTGGATTAGTATGTATGAGGTACAGGATCTTGTTTTGATCTTGTTGAATTTTGTGAGATTCTTTTTTTGCCTATGCCTGTAGTCTTCCCAGAGGCTGGCAATCAATCCTCCTAAATGGCAGCCCTACTCTCAAGTGTATTGATTGCATCCCACAGTTTGATGTCATCTGCAAGCTTGATGACGACTCATTCCTTCTCCTTGTCCAGGTCATTGATAAAATATTAAACAGGATATGTCCCAGAATAGGCTCTGGAGGGAACTTCTCTTGCATCCGGTCCCTGGGCAGATGAAGAACTGTTAACCACTACCTTTTGAACTAAACAATCTAGCTAATTTTTACCCATGTTGTACTCTACCCATCTAAACTGTAGCATCCCAGCATGGATACAGGGATGTTGTGGGAGACTGTTGAAACCTTGTCAGTATCAAATACTTCTTCAGGTATTTGTATATAAATTTGGAACTCTTGACTTCCACTTCAAAATTTGCTTGGAAATTCTGAAACAGATGTAGTGATAATCTGTGCTTAATCATATTTTCTAATAGAAAAGACCTGGAAAACATGGGGGTTGGACAGGATGACATTTAAAGGTCCCTTGCAACTCAAACTATTCTATATTGTTTTATTTTTAAATAATTGTAACTAAGTATTGTCTTTTATATTACAGAAATTAAAACATTTTTTTATTTCAGAGATTTATTTTTCTATTAAGATTCCTATTTGGAACAGCTTACAAGACCCTTGGAACAGTTAACAGAGAAAATGGTATTTTAGGTAGTTTTTCCACATGTTGCCTGTCTGGACAGGAAATTACCTTGCTATTTTTCCTCTCTGAAAAGGCCCTTATCAATGACAGTAAAACTATTATATTTCATTAGGAACAGAAAGACAGCAATTGGTGTGTTTAACGTAGTAAACATAACTTAACTTTTAAATGGCTAAAACTTTAATATTTGAAAAGGCTGCCATATCACAATAGTTCTCTGTCTAACGCTTCCTGCATTTATCTGGCATAGAAATCTAATACTATTATGCCACAGTCTTTGGCTAATAACTTCATAGGGTGGGTTTTTTCCTATGAATTTAAAAAAAAAAAACCAAACAAACACCACCACCCCACCCCACCCAAAAAAAAACAAAAACAAAACAAACCACAAAAAAACCCAAGCCAAAACAAAAGGTACAAGAGGATTTGTTATAGTCTATGTGGTGGAGTAGTAGAAGAATACATAATTCTTCTGTACCATAGTGATTTTCATGTTACAATAAATAGAAATATTTTGCATCTTTGTAAAAGTAGATTAAACTGGGATAAATGGTTTATCTATTTGAAGACTGTTACTAATCTGAATCCATGATAGCCGACTGTTTTGCTTTTCATATTCAGAGTAATTCTTAACTTACCAAAGGATATCAATTAGCTTTAATGTATTTTCTCTTTGCTTATACCATACACATCTCTTATGCTTTCTAATTTTCCATAATATTTCAGCTTACAAACTTTTTCTTTCTTTGCTGCTCATTTTCTGTGCTTGCCTGACTTAACATTGAAATTGTAACTCAGAATAAATCACATAAGCACACAGCAAATATTCAGGAATTTTGTCTCCTTTGTAGGAACCTGAAGAAAGATTGGTTTCTTGCAAGATAACTACTGAAACATAAATATCCGCAGAAAATTAGAGAGGATTATAGACAACCAGAGGCAAAAATGCAAAGACAATTATATAAAAAAACCTCTTTCCGTATGGTTTTGGGTTTTCTTTTTTTTCCCCGTTTTTCAACAAGTGTCACTACGTCACGTTTTAATTTCTATCTTTTGGGCTTCTATAAGAATGCAAGTAGTTTACAAAGATGGTATTATCAAATATTTATACTGTATGGGGTAACTACTACATAGTATTCAGGAAGCAGGTATCATCCTATTAGATGCATGACTGATATTGTTTGGTATTCTGCTAACATCTTAAGTATATGTAGTTATACAGCAGTCTGAACTAAACAGTGACAGTCTTTTTTACAGAAATCTAAGCATAAAAAGCAAGCAGAGACAGCCCAAAATGCTTGTATAAATGCAGAATGATCAATCATAGGGCAAAACATGACATTTAAGGAAATACTGTTAAAGTACTGTGATGTCTTTTGATGTAACAGGTAGCCAATATAATCGCTTTCTCACACCTGTAATATGAAATCTGATTTACATTTTAAATGCTTCTCTTTTATAAAATGAGGCATTGTGAACATGTGTTATAAATAATACTACCGTATTAAATGATTAACTGACTTAGACTTTAGATACCCAAAGAAGTGGCATATTAGAAATATGTTTAAATCTCATGATGTTGCAGGGAGGGAGCTAGATAAAGCTTCGTTCTCTTTTTCCTGCTGAATCCTGAGGGCAAGATTTACTAACAAGAGCTAATTTAGCTTTTTATTCTAATATGGAAAGTCCTAGGAACATGTGTAATTTTGCTATAAACAGATGCATTTCCAGTTAGTGTAGTTCTGACTTTTCAAGTGGAATATTCTTCTTCCTGTCAGTTAATATCCATCTTAGCAAAACAAAAGTTTAGCTTGGTAGTTTGCCTGAAATGTGTTTCAAAGGCCCTTGTGCTCAGTGTGCACTGGTGAATATTCATGTAATCACCTCAAAGTTTTTCACCCTTTATCCAGAAAGACATTGCATGCAGAATAAATTCCAAATAGGTTCTGACGTCAGTCTTGTTCCCCAGTCTCTCCTAAAAAAGCTGCTGCAGGGAGGTGAAGAAAGAACTTTTTATTTTCTTTCACGAGTCCCAAAGAAACAAAAATCTACATTTAGCATTCATGCTGAGTCACTTTGGGAACGACTCTGCCAACTTTAATTTATTCATTGTTTGGTTTGTAATAATTCTGAGCCATATGCTTTTTAAACCTATTTAACTTGGGCTAGGTTGCTTTGGGGGAGAGCAATTGTACATGTTCTTGAACACATATGACCTGTTAGCCTTTCACTCTAAAGCCAAGCCAGTTTTATTTTAACTGTAGTATTGTTAGTTGAAATTACAGCCACCAGTGTGCTTCTAATATTCAAACTCTTGATCGTAGCTTTGAAAACATGGATCAATGAAACAACACTGAGCCCCGATGATGAAAAGGATCCTATTGAAAAGCATAATTAGCTACATTTTATTAGCCTTTTTAAAAGGAAACAAATTTACATATGTTTTTGCTTTTTCCTCTTTATCATTTAGAAGACTTGGTTTAAATACAGATGTTAAATCAATTCAGCATCTGTAGATTATTAATAGTTACCAAATCCAGGATTTTAATCTATAAATTTTTTTACTTTTTAACAGAACTTTGTTTAGTGTCTTTAGTATTTGGAGAGACCTTCAAGCTATAGAAAAGCAGAATGGGAAGGATCTGATGAAGCAGAGAGAGGGGTTGGAGTTGAGTGGATTTGTTGAGAGTGCAGAGTTTAAGTCTTTATGCCACAGGCAACTATTTTTATTTTTTACTGTCTGCTCTAATTTTTTAATTTGCAAATAGTATTAATATGTACTAAAAGGCTTCTGTTAAAAGTGTTTTATTTTAGCTGCTTAAAGCTATTTTTGATAGCTCACTTTTAGATAGTATTAATGAGCTGGGTTCAGTTAAGAGCATCTATATTTTAAATCTGCTTGTCCAGTAGACACAATTCTGCTTTGAATACAGGGATTCCAAAACTTTAGCTTTTTTTTTTTTTAAACTAGATTGTTTTGAAAAGAAGGTAGTAGCACTTAGGTTTAGGGCAAAGACACATGTGTCTTTAATAACCAAAGACCTTACTTAATAACCAAATTCTGGAGATAGTCCAGCTTCTGATTGGGACAGCATCTCTCTCTAAGAGGAAGGATTCTGCATTAAGCAACTGGCTAGGTCATTTTTTCCCCCTCTAGCAGTGCTGGTTTCTTAAATGTTTAAAGTAAGCAATAGTTTTTGCAGTTATATTCTTCTCAGAAGAGGTAGCAGCTAAAAGCAAGAAAGGCTTTCTCAACTGGAAGAATTTATAATATGAAACTTGGGCACTTCTCTGAAGTTGATTAAAAAGAGACAGCTTGAAACTCTGTGCCTGGTCAAGTCCGTAGTGTGGCACAACTTCCTTTTTTTTTTTTTTAAATGTACATCTCGGCTGTTTTCATTGGTAATCAATGGGTCCTTATGTATTGCACTTTGAAAAATGCAGATCTGTGGAAGTTTTTCCTCACAGCTGGAGAAAGAACCCAGGTTAGCTTTATTACCTGGCTTTTGCACTTCTCTCTGTGGCTCTAGTTTTTCTCAGGTCATCGTTGCAGTTATATTTATTTTGGATAGGTAGCTGTGCTTTGGTTATTTGAATACAGTGGGTTCATTTTCTTCTGTAACAAATAGTCAGATTTAAGCAGTCATCCTAGTAAGTGTTAGCTAACTTGGACAAAAACCTGAGGATCAAGAGACAGCAGCAGTTGGTAACAGCCTGTATATTGCAGCAGAGTATGCATTTTCCATTGATGTATTGATTAAGGGTTCAGAGAGTAAGCAGCAAAATCAGCAAAACATAATTTTCCATGACAGACATAATGTGGATTTTTCACTTAGAATGTTGCAATTCAAAAGTTTTGGGTGGGTTGATGAGAGAGTGTTATTTCAGAGAGTGGTTAATAAAGCATGTTAATTTTGCCTCCAGTCACCTCTAACTCCAATAGAAAAGACTTCTGAAACTTTGCTTTTGATATCACACCTACCATTGAGTTTATATGAAAACAGTAAGAACAGCAGTTAGTTTTTCTAAACTGTATTCTGCTTATCAGTGGAATGACACCAGTCAAGGATTTTACATAAAATGTAGGCAAACCCACATCTATTAATCAAAATATGGACAACATTTAACTGATTCTAAAGAAGTTGTTGCAGAAGTTTCTGCTTCTGTTCTGGGCAGTCCATTGCCCATTTAAGTTGTGTGCATACCCTCTTGTCATTTGTGGATGCTTCACTGGAAAAAAAGGAATCTCATACCACAGGGAGATAATCCCCATATAAAGATAAAACATTTGCTATAAGTGTTTTTTGAGAATTATATATATAAGTTAAATCACATCCCTGATGCTTTAGATCTTCTCTGTGAGACAAGTATGGAAATTGAAGGTTGTTCAGTGTGTCATTTTAGTGCCCTTCCTGAAGAGCTGAATGTTTGTTAGAATGAGTATGGAATGAGTCCTTGAGATATCGGTTTTCTTCCTTATTTCTTCGGTGTTTTTAGCAATTTGGTCAACAGTTCATTGCCTTTTTGTTCATATTATGATGAGCTAGGACTGGGAATTCCCATTTTCCTACTTGCTTTTTAAAAACTATTTCTGATATACTTACCAACCCCCCCCCCCAAAAAAAAAAAAACACACAAAAAAACCCAACAACAAACAAAAAAACAGTTACGAAGACAGTGTAATCTTTTTCTTTCCCATCTTAAACTGACCTTTCCAAACAGATCTTTGATTCAGGTTTAAAGCGGGCAATGCCACATGCCAAATAAATCAGTTCATTTATTGACTTTCAAATAAATTAAAAGTAATTGCATAAATGTAATAGATTAGTTAGTGTTAGTAAGACGTTTATTATAAGCCTGTAAGTCTCTTCCTGGTCTTAGGATAATAAGACTAGGACACTCAAGTTTGAGAGGACAGAAACAGTAAAGACCTTGTTGAGAGTTAGAGGCACATTCCAAAAGAAACAGCTAAATTTATAAAGGATTAAGAGGAGGAAATAACTGGAAAACTTAAGCAGCTTGGCTTAATGTTTATCTTACTTCTCACTCAACTTCGTCATATGTAGGTTGCTACTTTGGGACTGTGATGATCGGAGCTACAGCTACTACATTGAGGTTTCAACGAATCAGCAGCAATGGACTATGGTGGCTGATCGCACAAAAATTTCCTGCAAGTAAGTTTAATTTTTTCCACTTATTTGTAGAAAGTCAGAACTAGGAACTGATGGGTTTTTTAATCCTTCTGTTCAGTACTCATACATAAATGACTTTCTGACTGTGAAAAGAAAGATTGTTACATAACCTGTAGATTATTAACTCTAGACACCTGTAAATACAAATTTTGGAGGTAATAGCTTCTAGTGTGGCTAGACTTTCAAGCCAGAAACTAATTTTGAAGATCCACATCAATACTGGATCTTCAAAAAATCAGTTTGATTTTTCATCCTCAGAAACAGTCTGCCTGCTGTACCCTGCCTTGAGAATCATGGTAGGAGAGGAAAGAGAGCATGCTTGGTAAAGGATTTTCTTAATCAAATGCTGTTCTTTATCCAAGCACATAAATGTATTGCACAATATTCGAAGGGGGTGGGGAGAGTGAAGGTGGGGACCAAACCATAACAGATCAAATGGTTACCTAAGCTTGACCTTGTCCCTGTTCAAAAGCAGAGTACCTGACATATGCACTGACTGCTCTGACTTTGAACAGGGACCTTCCATAGAAAGAACATGCTTCTTAAAAATAGATAAAAAAGAGACAAAAACTGTTTCATTTTCATTTGTATACTTAAATCAGGAGAAATTGGGCATGAATATTCTCCACATGTATACTCCATTGGCTTTTCTGCAATTACTGGGTCTGCTGATAAAATCTTCCAGTATGGAAGAATAATTCGGTGTCGATAGCTCTCTTAAACTATTTGATAATTCTAATTCTAAGTAAAGAGTGTTTCAGATACTTGTCATGGGTACTGAAAAGACCGTCTGTGAATGTATACGTTCCATATCCAGAAGCCAGGTATGCTCAGCATTCAGTGATACGATATGATCTCCTGGCTGATCCCCAAGGAAGCTCAGCCTTATAAAAATCTTATTAACCTCCTTTTCCCTGAGTCAGTTTTCCGTAAGATATGCTTTCTTTCCTGGGACAAAATTGAAGTCATCAGCTCATATGGGGACAGCCACCACCCATCCTGTATTTCTGCCAACCAAAACAAAATTGATCGTACAAATTCAGAGACGTATCTCAGTTTGTCACATCAAGCGAGAGAGTTATTCAGTCCTTTCTAGCAACACTCCTGATACACATTTTTCTAAAGTTTATATTTCATCTCTTAACAAATAGTGCAATTCAAACATGTTACAATGCAGTCTAGACGTGTTGATGGAGAACTTGACATGTCCTTTCACTGTCGGTAACGGGCAGTGTATTGATGAGCAGAAAACCTAGGTTCTGCGGGTCTAGAGAAAGAGGAAAGGAGATTTAATCATTCTGGAAAGCATCTCAGTGTAATAGATAAAATTCATCTTTTTGTCTGCCTCCAGCAGTGCAAGCACTAAAAGGCTGAAACCACAGAAGAGAGGGAGAGATAGAATCAGAATCTTTTTACACTTTTTCCTTGTACATTTTGATACTAATAGCCTATAACAGTCAAAAGGAGCACTTGTTCAAGTATGCACAGCGCAGATGGAATTGCTGATTGCCTTCACAGATCAAGTATCTGCTCAGTATGTTCAAACCACACTTTTGTTTTCTAAAGACTTAACCTTGGACAAATATAGGTGCATGCCCAAAATAAAGATAGCTACCTTCTCATGGTATACTTAAAGATCTTGATTCAAAAACACAGGTGCTCTGGAAGATCTCAAAGCTGTGGCTACAGGAACTATTTTCACATAGATTAGAGAATTGCATTTTGCTTAACTTCTTGCTCTGACAGGCACATTTCCAACTGGCAAAATGCCAGTCTTTAATCTTGAATTCTGCAGATTTACAGTGTCCTTGCACTGTCTGTAACTCTCTGCTCTAAATAAATACAAAGACCTGGTCCTGAGGCTTACAATTACAAAAGCTCAGTGGACTCCAGAATAATTCAATTTAGCAAGGACTAGAAAATTGTAAAAAAAAAAAAAAAAAAAAAAAGCATCAATTTAAAAAAAAAATCTTACTCCTCTTTGAAAGTTTTCTCTCTTCTGCAGTTACATTTAAATACTGTATCATCTGTGACTGAGACAAGTTGAAGGGTTTGTGGCCCCCCCCAATTTTCAGGAGGTTTCTTTGCATTTGACAGCACTTTTTCATGTTCATTTTGAATCTCTTGCCCTTTATGATCAATAAATTGGCCTTTTTTTCTTATTACAGTCACACCACCATGGAAAAGAAAACCCTTTAAATATGTTTTATTTTCTCTTCAATTAGGATTTGCAGAAATGCTGAAATGAATTAATAAACACTACTTTGTAATGGCAGGATGATAACTCTAAATACTATATAAATAAGTATATGTATTATATAGAAAAATAAATATATACAATAATATTTCTATTTCTACAATATATATTTATATTAAATATGTAAAATAAATATATAAATTACTACATAATTACTATATACTGATCTGTAAAGTACAGAGGATCATAATTGCATACAGTCAGACTGGACCACTTTTATTTTACTAAAAAGTACTGAAACATGGTACTATGACCTGAAAAGCCATATTCTTAGTGCTCAAAAACAGCTGAATGTAGAATGGAAGAGACATCATCATTCAGTGACTCACACACTGGATGAAGGCCTTCACTTAAAATTGTTGGGCAAAGGTTCAGTATGGGGATGGAGACATCTTAATGAAGAAAAGAAAATTGAACCAGTCATTGGTAGGAATATGTGAAGAACTGACTTTTTGGTTTAGTTTCTGTAAGTTAAAAAAATAAATCTCTAAGCAAATTGAAAATGTGGATTTTTTTGCCATGAAAAAAGTTATTTTCACTTTATGTATTTTTATCAACAACAGAGAAGATGAAGAGTTGGATTTTAACCAAAATTAAGAGATGCTGTAGTAAGGTGGAGGGGGTACAGTTTGTCTGGTTTACTGTCATAGTCCAGTGGTAAAGCTACTCCTGCTGGATGCAAGAGATTTATCTTTTTTTCCCCGTCTCTGTCCTTTCTCTTATCATGATTACATTGGTATTTTATGCAAACAGCACAGCTCTAACAGAGAGAAACCTGCTTTTTAGTCAAGTGATTCCGGCACTCCCCCAGGAAAAGCAAGAATCAAACTTGTGCACTGTGTCTGGGTTTGACTCATCATCAGGTCTAGCCAGACAGTTAGATTCCTGCATTGAGCAATTTGCCTTAACCAGACTACAGCTCAGTTGGGTGGAAGTAACAGTACCCTTATCTCTTTGTTCTTGTATGTTTATGAATGCTGCTACACCCCTCTCACCTGGGAGTAATTAAATAAATCTTTCCCTACTGTGGTCAAATTTTGCAACTGGTTTTTGTCTTGGCCAAATCCTAATATTTTTGATGAATACTTGGACATCCCAGCCCAAAAATGACTAATCCTACATTGGTATAAACATTGTCATCACTTAGGCTTATGTGTCTTTGTTTAAAATAAATTTTAAGTAGGTATGTCCTTGCATGGGACTGTGATTGCCTGTTTGACTACATGTACCTCTCAGAGCAACAGTCAAATAAGAACCGTTTTACATTTATTTGTGTTGGGCTAAAATACTAATTCTTTCCAGAAAGTATACTCCAAATTATGTCTGTTTCTCTTACAAATTCTGGAGATGTGAGTGCAGTCTAAGTGATTGATAAAGTCTTAAAATACCAGGTTTATCTTTTCTGGCATTAGTTCTGTGTTTAATATACTTCAGTAGACTCCAGTAAAATAACTTACTTGCTTTTCTGTGTAGGATAAGCAGCAGTAGCAAATGAAAGTGATGGAGTTAAAACATTGAAGAATTTCACAGGGGCTGACATTTGAATAGACAGAATACTTAACAATGAGAAAATTTACTTTGCTAGTAATATTTTCCATTCACTTTCCTGTCTTCAAAGACGTGTATAGGAGTTGTCTTGTTTGTTGTTTGCTGCCTGGCTTGCTTTCTACCTGCTCTTTCAGTGGAGTTACAGTCATTTGTGAAAGTCGTTGGTGTGCTATCTTGCAAGTGTGCTGTGAGGTCTCCAAATAATTTTGCAGAATCTCTGCCACAAGGGGCAGGATGAACCATAAAGGTAGCAAACACAGACCTCAACAGACACCTTTGATAATCAATAAGTGGCAAACAAAGCTATGAGAAAGAAAATTAAATTTTGTTTAGATAGCATATATTGGTTCTGGCAGTCTTTTGAAGCATAAACTTCCACTTTAAACTATCAGTATTCTGCCTTGGGTTGTTTTAATGGTATTTTTAATGTAGTATTTTGTGCAAATGAATAATTCAGTGCTCAAAGCCAGGAAATGACAGGCTACTCCTGACCTCCTCCTCTTGCAGTTTTTAAAGGCTGAAGACAGAAACTGGATGTCTGTTATCTTTACAGGGGAAATTTGTGTACCTTCCCTAAGTGAGAGCCAATTAATGCATACTGGTTGTGTAATTGTCAATTTTTAGATGTTCTGTGGGGGCTTTTTTTTTTCTTTCCCACAATAAGCTGTTTTTCTCTACACAGTATGACAGTAATGAAAAACAGTTGCGTTCCGTTCTGTGTTTTCAAACGTTTATGATAAGTGGGCTTGAGCGTGTTGGCATTGAACAATAGACCTGCACTTTTTAGAAGAATTTGCTGACAAAGAGTCTGAAAGTCAAATGAAAAACAGAAAATACAAAAGGCCAGTAGGAGTCAGACCTCAGAGTTAATGACACTTTTGATAAAATAAGCCTGGTAAAGACAAATACAAAACAGGTTATCAAGATGGTTATCAACTCAGTGTCATTCCTTAAAGTTCTCTTGTGTAGTTATTGCAAAATGGATCTAACCTATTGGCAACAGAAATACCATGTTCAATTCCCCAGTAGGAAAACAGGGTCTAATACTCTGATAGAGTTTGGAAGACAATGAATATTGTTTCCTGATGGGAAGTTCTAAGGCAGTTGGTACCAACTGTCTATATGGCTGGTTTGGGACAGTTTTACTATTTTCTTATGGAGGAAAACTTCATTTTCC